CAGAACTTTAAACAAAAAAAAACTCATTTTCTCAATAAATTCTAGAAGATGCCATATTTACCACTAACTTTTGTTTCCTTTTCCTTTTTCCCCTTTATTATTATTTTTTTTTATCAACCATCCATCTTTAAAAATGCAGCAAACCACAAAGAAGGTGCAAAACTGAAAAAAGAATGCAAATTTCCAGATGTGTAACCGTAAGTTGTCACCGTTGTCGTAACATATTTCAGATGATTTACGATTACAACTGCACATACATTTTCTTTTCTCTGCTTTCTTTTTTTTTTCAGATTTTTTAAAAAATTTCATCTAACAATTTCAGCATTGCTTTTCTTTTGCTCCCATATCCCTCTCCTTCTCATCTTTTTTTTTTAAAGCCTTATAACAGTAACCAACATCATTATCAGTGTCCAACATCACCGTTGCCACCGCCACCGCCAAAGCCACAACCACCACCACCACCACCACCACTATCGGTACCGTCACCATTGTTGTATCAACAACAACCAATCACCTTGAAACTGTGCAGGCCTTCTGTAACTGAACCGCCTGAGAGCTTACTCGGTTCAGAAACAAACCGTCAACAATTTTGCTTCCCTTTAGATTCTATTCACAGAGAATTCCATATCTACTTTATACCAGGATATTTGTGGTGTACTGTTTAACTATGTCAAAAAAAATTCTTTTTCCTTGATCCTTGACTTTACTTTTTCCTTTGATTACTCAATTTTAACAAAAGAAACCAAAACAAGAGGAAGAAAAACAATTTCCAGTTTTTATTGTAATTTTTTTTTAGACCTTTTTTGTTGAGCTCATTGCAAAATTTTGTAACAAAACTATTTGTTACAAAACCGTTGGAAGAAAATGAATGTTGTTATTGTTAACAACAGCGTAACAACGTTGTTCAAATTAGGCGCTCGGTATCGGATACAACTAAAATTTATGGCGGCTATTTTGAAAATTTAAAATTAATTCTATTGAGAACACATTAAACAACAACAACAATTCAACTGTCTGTCCGTCCGTCCGTCCATACGGCTGTGTTGATTGACGCTGGTGGCTTTCCATTGAATTTGCTCTGTATCAGTGATGCCCTTATATATCCCCTCCTCAAAACAACAGTACTTTAGCTCATAAGTACTTTTCAATAGCTGCTTTGTCTAACGATACCCAATAATTCTTGCAAATTTACAATAAAAATCAACTAAAAAAGTTCCAAACTGCTAAGCAGCATTTGAACTGTGCTTAGTACAATTCATTTTTGTTCCAATTTTTCTTGCCCTTTTCACCACTCAGAATACCTGACCATTTTGTACACAGATGGCAAATATATCAATAAGCGTAATGATTTTTTTCTTCTTTTTTTTTGCTGTTTCAACCATCATTTATCTTAATTTATCGGCTGCTCTAAGTACAGCTGAGCAACAATTTTTTTTTGTACCCCTTACCGTGTCGGAGCGCACGCAGCAGCTGATAGAATTAAGGAATATAAAACAAAAAAGTTTTTGAAAGACAAAAACGGAATTGAAAACAAAATAATAACTTTTTTTTTCTTTAATATATTACTGCCTATATTAGGATAACCTTCAAACTTAATATCAGATAATATCAAAACAACAAGAATATGACTGCAGATGATGAGAAATTTTTTTATCAAATAAATACTTGATAATCAGATGTTTCATTGGGGGATAAAGAAAGCACAATGATTTGGAAAATTTGAATGAAATGAATACATCAGTATTGTCCTTCATTGGAATATCATCAATGAAGAATCCCTCAGAAAAGACATAAGCAAAAAAGTTCAAAAAGTATTTTCAGTTGATTAAACATTTGTCCATCAGTTGTCCCAAATATACAAAAGTGTTTTTTTGTTTGTTTTTTTGGCCAATTAATGATCAATGCGAAAACAAAATGTTTTTTTTATGGACTATTAAAAAAAACAGGTATTTTCCGAGTGGAATCTTCAACAGAATTGACACACTGTATCCTATCCATTATTCTCATCCAGAAACATCATATAACAAATAGTATTAACACTGATGATAACCAAGGCACCGGTAATCGACTAAAAAAATATGACTGATGTATATATATATATATATATATATATATATATAT